CGCGCATGGCCCTAGCAAAAAAATTCCAACATTCTATCTACTTAAGGGGGACTGAAAAAACCTTGAGCCCGTGACGTACGTTCAGCAAGATGACGTACTTGGGGGGTCAGGGGGACTTAGTAAGTAGGTTAATAATGGGGATAAATGGACTTACTATATGGGTTATAGGGGTTATTAACCTACTTACTAAGTCCCCATGACCCTCCAAGTAGGCTTGGAAGTTGAGTTTCCACGGGATGGCCAGCATGATACAAGTCTGCATGCATCAATATTGCCGTTCACTGACATATGGTAGTTTCCCAAAATGAGGGGACCCAAATATAGACCCCAAAAATATTTTAATCCTGAAAATGGGGACCCCAAAAAGGTACCTAAACCCTAATAAACCCTAAACCCTAAACCCAATTTTGGGAACCCCCCAGATCTCATTACGCAATGCTACTGATATGGATCAGCGGAAGGCAAGTTGGCAACCCCAAGGCTCCGTTTAGGGTTTAGGGTTTAGGGTTTGGAGGAAAATCCCTGGTTCAGAATCTTCTTCCTGTTGCATTATTGCTACTACCATTATTAATATTGTTACTATCAGTATATTGATATTTTGCCATTATCATCATTATTGTTATTGCTATTATTAGAATTACTTTTCAGAACTGCAGCTATGCAGCCATGAATAATCCTTTTGCAGGAGTTCCGGCCCTGGGCAGCATGCTGGAATGGGTTTAGGTTTAGGGTTTAGGGTAAAGGGCAATAGGTAGGGGTGGGGGGTGGCGTGGTGAGAGAAGGGGAGCCTAAAGCCTAAAACACAAATCAGCAAGCTAGTGCCCGTGACAGCCTTTCAGGAAGAGAAGCGTCGGCGGCAGGACCTTCCTTCTAGGGTTTCGGTATGCAGGGGGACCCCGATTTTGGCCAAAGGTTTAGGGTTTAGGATTAGCTTCCACAAATAAGGGGACCCAATATAGACCCAATGTACGATAATCCTCACTTTTGGTTCTCCAAAAAGGTGCCTCTCATTTTGGGAAACGGGGCCTGTCAAAAAACAAAAATTTGGGCCATAATCTAAAGTCCTTAATGGGGGGTTATAATATAGAGTTTGGATCATAGCTTAGTTGCAGACGTTCCAGAAGGTGCAAATCATGTTGATTCATGATCCTTACGATGCAAGCTTGAATATGCTTGTAATCTGCATGAGCCCTGCACTACCTGATGCCTTGAGCCGAGTTCAGATACCCCTGAGGAAAGGTTTTTTTTGTTAGACTCCTCTTCCAGCTGTTTTCTGTCAGTACTTCTTTTTTTGTGTTTCGTTCGAGTCGCACTGCGTGCACGGGCTTTGCTGCATGGTCCAGGCTTTTGCGTCGTAGAGGTGTGCCGTTTTGAATTGGTTGAGCCCAAGAAAGGGTTAAGAGTAAATCAACCCCCCCACCCCCGCTGTAATGTTGAATTTTCCCATGGTGATTATGCTAGGCTAGGAATATTGAGCATCAGGGGCGTGAGGGATTTTATCATTAGGGGTAGGTGATTGCTATGTATAGGGATAGTACCCCCAAATATACAGAACTTGAAAGGAAAATGGAGACTACTTAAATTAGATAGGGTTTAAGGTTATTACTACAATCATAGATATTCAGTTGGAAAGAAGATTAAAATGGAAGCTGGGGTTGTATGGGGTTTATCGGGGGATCCTACGCGTGATAACGACCTTCATATGTCTATATGTATATTTAACAGTTCATGTTACTTTATTTTGCGGAAAGCAAATAGAAACTTGGGGTGTATAGGCGTCTTTAGGGATAATCCTTCAGTATCCAACGGTTGATAGTGAAGCCCTGCATGACCTGTGGTTGCTGTAGGTACTTAGAGTCATGTAGGATTTAAGTATCAACCGATGTCATGCATAGCTTTTTTCCAACTGAGATTTTTCAAAAACATCCGCGGGACAAGGGGCGAGCCTAACCCTAAACTATTGATACGAGCATCTGACAACCATGAGCCCCTAGCCCTAGCTCGCTAAAAGTCAATGGTAATCCCTAAGCCCGAGCGCTGAACTCTAACCCCTGAGCCACTCAACCCTAAACTCCTAACCCCTTTATCTCCCTCAAGCCTAAACCCCGAACCCGGCAACCCCCCTAAACCCCACTACAAAACTGCGGCTAAGAATCTCGAAGCCGGTGACGATCAGAGCACTAACGAGTGCCTCAAAACAGACCCCAGCAGTCGAAACCCTAAGCGGTAAACCCGAATCCCAAAATTGCATACCCCAATCCAACACCTAAAAGGAAAGAATGCCTACATCTACCCGTAGATATACGTGTATATATATATATATCTATACATCTTTGTACCTGTACATGTATTTATGTGTATGTCATTCATGTTTATGTAGAATATATATATATACACATACATATATACATATATGTAGATATACATGTATGTATACTGGTAGAAGAGGAGAAGCGGGAGGCTGCAAATGCGCCGCCTGCGTGGCTCAGCACCTATGAGATGGTAAAACTTCAGGTGGTTTAGGGTTTAGGGTTTAGGGTAGGGTTTGGGGTGGAGGGAGCTTGGAAAGACCAATTTGTCGGGGATCCGGCAGACAGTACAGGAATCGGAAAAGGGTTGAAACAAGGGGATGCACTTTGCTGTGGCTTTAGAACAGGGCTTCTTGGGTTTGTGGACGTCTCTTGATGGGTGAGACAAAGCCACCCCTTTTCCCTCACAGCTTCGGATCGTGACCCTGGACATGCGCGTAGCGCTAGACCGTGTTACCCAGATGAGGGATTATTACATCTAGGCGGCATTGTTCATGGAGCTTTTAGGCATAGTTACTTGCTGTATGCCTCTGACCTTCCAAGTTGGGATGATGTAGTTGGTGGGAGAAATCTTGCACTAATCTGGGATCATGAATTCCTTGACATGGCAGTCGTTTAAGAGTGCTATTTGGTGCAAGAGTTTCTCAATCCGTACTAGCAACTATTTGTGTGTACTACTTTTGGCATACCAGTGATGCTGGATCTCCCCAGTGAGTTCCTGAGCATTTCTACAACTTTGGATTTCGTGTCTGTACACCCAAAACAATACGACGCCGAGTCAAAGGACTCTTGGATTTTCTTCGGCTGATACTCATGAAGATCATGCATGACCCGCAGATGGTATTAAACCCGCAAACCCTAAAAAACCCTAAACTGCAAACTCTGAACCTCAAGGCTTTTTTTCTCAGGTTTAAGGTTGGTTAGGCTTTTGAGTTGAGGGCTAAGACTCTAGGTTTTAGAGCATTGGATGCTTGGGTGACTTGCGACGCAGACTTGTTGTCCCGCTCCTAATCCCCTCACAAGCGCTTGATACCCCGTAATGAGCATCAAAGACGCCATGCAGCCCTCCACAATGTTTTGTAAGGAGGCATTCTTGTTCGCTCTGTTCCCATACACACGGCCGCTAGCTAAACGTCCGTAAGTTCCAAGCGGTTGAGGGGTTTATTAAACACCAGGTCCGTATCCTCTCTACACCGGGACAGGGGCGAAGCCTTTTCGTGTTGTTTCAACGTTTTTCGGATCTTTTTTGCATGCGGGTGTTTTTTTCATGCGGGTGGACCCCCCGGCACGCGAACCCACACAAACGTTAAATCCTGAAGCCTAAGCCCCAACGACTCCAATTCTCAAGGACGTCTGCCATGTCGGCAGCCATCGCGGAGTACTTCGCTGCTGCCCAAGATATATGAAACTGCAAACTGACAGGAAACTGGAGTGGGGAGGGCTTTCTTCCTCCTTGGAACTCCTGCCTAAGTTTCTCCTCGATAGGATTAGGCTTGATGCCTTGTAGAGTTCAAGTAAAGGTTCGAAGTTACAGTTTCGCAGATTTATGGTATTTGAGGATTGCGTTTCGCAGCTGACAGATCCAGGGTTCTTATGTTGCGTAGGGTTCATGGGATTGAGTGCAGGGCTACTCTTGTGTGAATACTTGACATGTATGTATGCTCCCGGCCAAGATCCACGTTCTACCAGTTTGGGATTTAGGGTCTAGGTCCTGCAGTTGCATCATGTAGAGCACAAGGGCAAAAAGCAAGGAAACAAGGGCAAGAGCTTGTTTACGACCGCGAAAGCTGTAAACAACGACCTTACTGAGGGTTAGTAGGGAATGAGGGAGTATAATACAGGGGACAAAACAATTACCAATATTATTGTTCCATTTTCCATTGTAATTCTAGTCTATGGTACCTCAAATGGACCTCACAATGATATTGGTTTATTTAGGCCCCCGTAGTATTTACTATATTATCCCTTCTAACCACAGTACCAAGTTCCATTGTAGCCATGTTCCACAGCAAGGCAATACTGCGAATAAGGACGGTAGCAGTGATAAGGCAGTAATAAGAATGTCACAATGCCCGACCTCAGCATGCACGGAACTCTACGAAGCCTCAAGCCCAAAGCCGAAAACCCTTAACCCCAAACCCAAAGAAGCTAACCTGAAGCAAGGAGCCTTAACCCCCAAGCCCTAAGCCCACACTAAACCCTAAACCCCAGACCCTCCAGTCCAAACCCTAACCCTAAACCAGTTTTCCTGGATGCTGAACTCTAAGCAAGCAAACCTAAACCCATAGGCTCTGAAGCCTGAACCCTAAACCTCAAAAAGAACCTGAACTGAGCCCTGAACCAGAAGCCCGCCCGCAAAGGCGGTCTAGGGTTTAGGGTTTGGGGTATGAGCCCTGAAGCCTGGACTGTAAGCTTTAGACCTGACGCCCTTCACCATGAACCCGAAGCCGCCCAAAAGCCAGTCTCGAATTATACGCCCTCCCAAAACCCTAAACCCTGAAGCCCGAACCTAAGCCACCTAAGCCCCGAACTGCGTTGCTGTCAAGGAATGTAGTTCAAGCTGCCATGATGAGGAAGCCGAACTTTTCCTTCAGATCCATATGGGGGGTTGTCAAAATTATGGTCCCTTTTGGGTACCCTAAATATTAGGGGCCGTATTATAATAGGGACCCCAACAAGGACCATAATTTTGACAACCACCCATATTGGGTTTAGGGTTTAGGGTGTAACTGGCCTCAAGTCCCTTTGACACCTCGGGCAAGCCCAGTTTCCATTTTATTGTCCACTTTCTTTTCCATTTGAATCTCGACTGTGGTAACTTTAGCCTCGTACCCTAAAGTGCACGTTCCATTCTCTTTTCCATTCCCTACGCATACCTCAAAGCCCCATATCACCCTTTTTTTAGCCAGAGTTAGCATGCTGTATAACCTTTTTAAATCTCTGTAGTCCATTTAAGGGAGTTGGCCCTATACCCCAAACTTTAAACCCTAAACACTCAAGCCCAGATAAATTCAAATTGTATAGGTCAAAAGTTAAAACGGAAACTTGCTCAAAACTCCGGACCTGAACCCTATACAGTTTGTATAAACGCCCAATGCAAGGCCCAGCAGAAGCAGCAGACCTCCCAAGCAGCACCAACATCAGCAGATGCGAAACGGAGTCCTGACTTGGGTTTAGGGTTTAGGGTTTAGGGTGGAGTTTGGGTCCTAGTACTTCGAGGTCTATATTGGGGACACCCTATTTAGGGAAACTACCCAAATCTGCAGAGTGCCTCGGTTTGGGGTCTGGGGCTGCAGATTTGGGATCTAGGTTGGGTACTGCACCCCCCCAGTAACAGTCTATATTAGGGGTCCTATTAAGGGCTATATATAACCCTATTATAATTATTATCCAACTGTTACTGAAGGGGGGCAGTACCCAAGATCTAGGGTTTTAGACTTCAGGACTTGGGGCTTCAGAGTTGGGATTTAATCTTTTTTGTTCAAAAACTTGATTTTGGAATCAAGGATTTACGGCTTAGGATTTGGGGCTCAAGATTTGGGGAGTGGGGCCTGGCTCCTCTGACCTTGAATCATCGTTGCAACCCATCCTGTCACGCCTACCATCGTTTATTTACACACCCTGAGCCCTAAACCCTAAATTTTTCAATACTCCCCTATATAACCCCCTATATAATGCCCTTGAAGGAGTTTTGATTTGACTACAGCTCATATTGCTCTAGGGGATTTGGACTCCTGATCCCTTTCAAGGATTTTGGGGTTTTGTACTTCTGGAAAGCCTCGAAAATAGGGATAGGGACCCTAATGTAGACCCCACAATTCTACAATCCTTATCATACGGACCCCCAAGATGGTACCCCTAATTTTGGAAAACCCCTAAACCTTAAATCCTAAGCCTAAACCCTATATACCCTAAGTTTGGGAAACCCCCATAGCAAGCTCTCCTTAGTGGACTTGGAGCTTGCCGCCCGGTCTTCAAATTATGCTTTAAGGGTTTAGGGTTTGGGGTTGTAGACTATGAGCCAGATGGGGAAGGATATGGGGATTGCAGGGATCATAGCTCAGGGGCTGTTGTTGGCTTCTGTAGGCAATCTACCTTCAACCCTAAACCCTACACCCCTAAACCCTAAACCCTACAACCCTAAACCCTAGGTTAGTGCTTATGTGATCCATGAAGGGTCTAGGGACACACGCTTTTCCCAATTTGTTTGAGTGCGCCACTAGGGAGATGCAGGGAACCCTACTAAGGATGTATATGTATATATATATATATACATACTACTATATATATATATACATATACATACTACTATATATAGATATACATACTACTATATTCAGGGGCCATACTGGGGTTAGGATATACAGGGGTTATATAGGAATATGTAGGGAATGTTGGGGTTGCCTGTTCCCATGATGAGGATTACATTATTGTTTTGGGCTGTAAATTGGGGTTCCCCTGTTTCAGGAAGCTGCATTTCGCTAACTCGCACAGTGACATTCAGTAGTTGATTCTTACAAAAAGGATCTAGGTGACCCCAACCCCCCATGACAGGGTCCTATTCTGTTTGGCAACGCTACATGATAGCGTACTCTGTGCCCCATCGTCCCACAACAGCGAACCTGGTCCAGTATCATCTAAACCCTAAAGCCCCAAACCCTAGACCCTAAATGGATTTGCTGACATGCGGTGTATTGGAGAAGGAGACTGGAAGAGTTCAGGGTTTAGGTTACGTCAATCCCCCCCTACACAGCCCTTGAATATGAAGTTAATAGGGCCTTGATATACCTAGAACAGTCTCCTATAAACCCTAAACCCTAAACCTTAAACGTTCATCCCTACAGCATAACCCTAAACCCTAAACCCCTATAACTACAAAAGTCCCTTGTGGTGCCCATTATTGGGTTCAGGATTACTGGGGTCGCGGAGCATAAGGTACTCCAAGCTCAGGCCAGCAGTCTGCTACCGCATTCTATCATGTTGCGGCGCCCCTAAATCCTAAATCCTGAAGCCTAAACCCTACAACCTTACAACCCTAAACCTTGAGACTCTCCTAATCCCTCTGACATGATTTTTCTCAAGATCGCCCATGCATCATGTGTCCAACTGGACCGCTGGAAGCCCTGTGAATCCCCAGCCTCCGTTCTGCGAAGCCTTCATGTCTAAAGTCCAGATGAGCTCCAGACTGACTCCTTATAGGAGGCTACATAGTGATTTTATATAGGGGAGTAGTATAGGGGCGAAAAAGGGGGATATTATGAGTTTAGACTTTAGGTCATACACGCCTGATATGGAGGGTTATCAAAATCATGGTGCCTTCCTCTGGTGTTCTCAGTTTCATAGCGCCTCTAAAATTCAGGCGGCCCCTCAAGCGACTATCATGGCCGAGTTAGGGTTTGGGGTTTACGGTTTAGGGTTCGCCTTACATTTCTTCACCCTAGAAGCTAAGCTCACTAAACCTTGAATTATCCGTAGACCCTCAACCCTGAACCCTAAACCCTAAACCTCACCTGTTGTGTAGCCCAGGATGGCAGCCAGCATGGCAAAGACTGCCAAGATACATCCTTCGCTGGTGCCTCCTTCCAGGGTTTGGGAGTCAGGATCTAGGGCTTAGGATTTAGGGTTTGGGAATGGGACATTTTTTAAAGTAAGGCTTGCCTATAGGGTCTTAGTGGCCAGGACGCATTGCGTTTTGAAATTTGGCGTCCTTAAAGAGTTGAAGGGTCAGGATGTAGGGTGCAGGCTTCAGAACTCAGGGTTACAGCCATTACGCCCTGCCAAAACCTAAACAGCCTGGTGCCACGTGCTTCGAGGGTATGCCCTAGAAGCGTGGGGTCGTATATGATTTGAGCTGCACTTCTCAAATTCAAGGATATGAACCCTCCAGGAAAATTTGGATGCTTGCCACAAAGCCCTGAAATCAAACCCTCATTCTGACTGTGACGAAGCTCCAAATTCATGGAGAACTATGAGCTAGAGGTTTGATATGGTAGGTCCCCCAAACAGGGGAACCCCAATATAGACCCCCAAATACTGTAGTTCTTTTTATAGGGACCCCATAAAGGTACCCTTACTTTGAGGAAAGCCCCATATCTAGGAGCTTGTGAAGCTGAAAGGCAGCGGGTAGTACTTTGGGGTTCAGGAGCTTTCGAGGACGTTCCGTTGTTTATTCGAGTTTAGGGTTTAGGGTTTAAGTCCTCATCCAGAGTAGCAAATGTTGATGATGATAATCAAGGCGATCACCACAATGATGCTTATCATGGTGATCATAGTCTTCATCCTCATCATCAGCCGCACCCTTTAGATCTCTGGGACGCCGCCTATGTTTTGAAACTACCATAGGTTGACACGTGGGGCAGCGGTTGCGCTAGAAAGGGGCCATCGTTGGCATCAGAGCATTCGGACAGTATCGATGTTCAAGGAGCGAGTGACCACGCATTTCGTGTAGCAGTACTGCTTGGAGGGTCAGGGGGACTTAGTATATAAGTAGGTTACTAACCCCTATAACCCATATAGTAAGCCCATTCATCTCCATTGTTAACCTACTTACTAAGTCCCCCCTGACCCCCCAAGTAGTGCTATTCACGTGGTTCTTGCTGCTGTTGCCGCCGCCTCTGCTGCAGTAGGCGTCCTCCCAAGTAGCAACCCGCACCACCGCGTCTACTCTGCGCCCACATACCACTACCATCACCGCCAGTTTCCTGCTTTCTCTTACCCTGGCAATCACCCTACACCTGAGGTCAAGGAGAGGACCCTCTGCCTTAGACAGTTGCACCTAATGCAAGAGCCCAATTGGGGTTTAGGGTTTAGAACCGAGGCATTGAGTAGTTTTTACATCTAATCCGGGAATACAAGGAAAGAATATTGGCAACTATGTAGGCTTGTACATTCAGCACCCTCTAAGCCCCTGCATACGCGCGATTTCCATTTGATTCTCCGTTTTCTTTAGAATCAGATTCTCCATTATTGGTAAGCACTTAGGCCTGAAAAGCCCAGAGCCCCATGCTAAACCCTAATCCCTAAAGTCCTTGTATTACATATGCCTCCAGAACCTGTCATCAGACAACCCTAAACCCTAAAACGTGTTCACGCTCTAGTGCCATTATACGACATGCCTTGACTTCTAGGCATCCCTTTGTGATCCGTATAACCTCTTTAGAGGGCCCCTTCTTGAACGGTCCCTCTCAAGGCCAGCGTCTATGCCAATGCGGCACCTGCAGCAGCCACGGCACCGCTGCAGACCCTGCAGCAAGAAGCCCAGGCAGGTATTGTTGGATCCTCAGCACCCGTTAGAGGGGTTACCAGGATAGATGCGCATATATGGGGATGTAGAGGGAGATATGGGATATATATGTATATATACGTACATATATATATATATACATATATATATACACATATGTATTTATATGTATATCGAGGAATGCCAAGGTATAGTGGGGGGTGAAGCTGTAACGTAGCTGGTTTGGGGTTTAGGGTGTGCTCAGGTTTTGCATTAAGATCGGGAGATATGGCGATGTATAAGGATTTGCACAGATGCATGGGCTGGTACAGGCATATCTAGGGATTTGTTGGAAAGTATGTGGTTAACTGGGGGGTGGGGGGGACATGTAGGCAAACATGGATATACCTGAGGATCTGTATGGGGATATGTAGGTATGGTCACGTACATAGGGATGAGGCGGGGATTTTTGGCAGTATATTGGGAGTCGATGAATAATTCGAATCACGTGGACAAGAAAATGGAAAGGACATGGAAACCCTGAACCCTAATCCCTAAACCCTACACCCTAAACCCTAATCCCTAATCTCTAAACCCTAAGCCATTTATTTGGTTGTTGTAAGGATGATGAGCTTGCCCACTCGTCACTCTCAAGAATTCAAGACTGTTCACATCGGATTAATGTTCGGGTTTGATAGAGGTCCCCAAATTGCCGAATCTCAAGGGTTTAGGGTTTAGGGTTTAGGGTTTTCATATTGGGGTAATATTGGGATAACGGAAAAGAAAATGGAAGCTACTATAGTATATTGGGGTAATATTGGGATAATGGAAAAGAAAATGGAAACTACTATAGTATATTCAGATCGAGCCCAGTTGCATGATTCGACAAATTCGGTCGGCAACTCTGCACATTCCCTTGGGCGCAGTGTCCTTGTGCAAGGCTTCTAAGAACGTACCAGGGTTTGGGGTCTAGGGGTTCCCGAAACTTTTGGATGGAGGCGGTTTGTGCTGGTCATTTGCTGTCTAGCAGTCGCATGCAGCCCTCCAAGTTTTGCCATGTGTCCTGTGGTCCGCGCGACATACCGTTGATGCATGTGGGTATATGGGAAGGATGGAGAGTCACATGCTAAAGAGCATGAAAAATGAAATGGAAGCTGGGGTTACACAAGCCTTATAGCGGGTTCCTACCAGTGATGCTAAGCATCCATAAGTTGAAAGAGGCTTTGGGGTTTAGGGCTTAGGGTTTAGGGTCATGCAGGATCTTCCGTTGCAACTGTACAGTAGTGTGTTGGCAGATATGATATACAGCTCGAGAATTGATATCTGCCGACATGACCTCATTTGTGTTCCGTTAGGGTCTGCTTTACTTGGGGGTCAGCGGGACTCAGGAAGAAGGTTTAGGGCCTAGGGTAATGGGGATAACTAGGGTTATTATATAGTATAGATGGCCTGCAGAGGTTATTAACCTACTTACTAAGTCCCCCTGACCCTGCAAGTAGAATCGATTTCTGCTGCTTCCTGCAACTGGGTTGCTGTGAAGGAGCTTAAATGAAGTTACTCAAATTCAGAAACCCCAATATCTCCCCAAACCCTGAACCCTAAACATCTGCTATGCCCCCGTATCATGGTAACTTAGATTCAGTTCCTCAACAGCGCCCCAGGCAAATGCCAGGTTCCCTAAAGGTGTTTAGGGTTTAGGGGTTTAGGGTTTAAGGTTTAGGGGTTTAGTGTTTAGGGTTTCGGGGTTTAGGGTTTAGGATTTAGGGTATTGTAAACCCTAGGCCCTAGACCCTAGTTTCCCTAAAGGTCATCCATGCCATTGGTGAGCCAGACCATTTGCCTTCCTGAATGATTTTCTCAAGGGTTTCAGGCTTGTACCCTGGGTTTAGGGTTCTACCCCTGGGTTTTGGGATCCTTTGAAGGGAGTAGGGGACTACAGTGGCAAACGGGCAAAATTAGGGCCATATTGGGGAAACCTTTCGGGCTTCGACCTTAGGCGTGCAACCCAGGAACCGGTTTAGGGTTTAGGGTTTAGGGTGATTTTCTGCTGACCTGCACCTAAGCCCAAAACCCACCTCCAAAAACCCTGGACCCTAGACCCTCAACCCTAAACCCTGGACAAAACCCTTAACCCAAAGCCCTGCTTGGCATGGTTGCCTAGATCTATCGCGTGGTTTTGGTGCCCTAAACCCTAAACCCTGGGTTATATTGAGGTTATATAGGGCTTAATGGAAGTTTGACTAGGGTTCTTGGGGTTATATTGGGGTTCTAAAGAGGATAGTAAGCCCTAAACTTGTTTTCCTTAAGATGGTTAGCTTTCATGCCTGCTACCAGAACCCACCTTGCTATGGCTAGAAGATGCAGTTGCAAAAGGGATTATTTATAGGGTTCCTATTATTAAGGTTTAGGGTTTAGGGCTTGCGGTTTAAGGTTTAGGGTTTAGGGTTCAGGCCATTTTGGCTCAAGCCACGTGCGCTGTGACTTTATACCTCACAGCTGTGGGCAGCTTGTTTGACTGCCAGCTTGCTTGTGCGTTGCTTTTGTTTTGCTTGCATGGCTGCGGACGATTCTTATTTGTCGTTTCTGGTGGCAAGGCTGGGCGTCAGCAGTGGCCTGCAGCGGCCCGCCGTGGAGTGCTCGGCCGAAGAACCTCATCTTGATGATTCTGCTGGTCTTCCACGTCCTGCTCCCCTGATTCGCAGGCTGTTTAATTCCGAGGAGCTTGCTGGGGACAGGTGTCATGCGCTAGCCTTGCAGACTTCTGCCTCACCGGAGTCAGCCTTGCGTGTAGTGGAGTGTCGAAGTCATAAGCGCGCTAAGGTTGCAGTGTCATGTCTCCCGGATTGCCGTGATGGCCATGTGAGTTTGCGGGGTCAGCAAGATGCAGAGCGGTCGCGTTTGTGTGAACTATGGGCTGATGTGGCCGTTCATTTACTGGATGCCAGCGACATGGAGGTTTCTAGTGCGGAGATTGGCAGGGTTCATCTTCTTCGGATTTTTCAGAACCGCGCGGCCTCGACATTGAAAAAGCACCTTGCAGGTTGGCACATTTGGTGGGATTTCTGTCGGGCGTCTTCTTGCAGCGTGGTTTTACCAAGCTTGCCGCAACTTCTGGACTTCTTTGAAAGCTTATATGTCGGAGCGCATGAGGATCGTGGGAACAATCGTAAAGGAAAAGCTTTGGGCGTAGTGGCTGCAATGAAATTCACCGCGTCCAGATTACAGCTGGGTGTTCTGCTTGGCAGGCCGCGCAGTCCTCTGCTAGAACCATGGGGATACGCAGATAAATGGCAGAAGCGTCGACCTCGTGAGGCCAATCCGTTGGCGTTCGAGGTTGTAGAGCGCTTGGAGGCTGCGTGTCTGTCAGCTCCTGTTGAAGATGTATGGTTGCTCCTGTGTTTCTTGTTGATGCTTTTCGGCAGCTTGAGGTGGAGCGACGTCCTGAGGGTGGACTTGAGCTCCGTTTCCTGTCAGGAAGGTTGCTTGCGCGGCTGGTCATGGCGTTGCAAGCAGTCAGACACAGGGATGCCTTGGGCTGTGTGGTGCCGTGGTGTGACAAAGAGAAACTGGGGTTTCCAATTCTACAAGGAGTTGACATCTATGCGCGCAGCCTTTCCGCAAAAGGATTTCCTAATTGGGTCTGCTGGGAGACCGGTCTCGTACTCTAGTGGCTGTGGTGTAGCCGACGATGAGGCTGCTCTACCCCAGCAAGACGGATCTGCCACAGAGGCAGAGGAGGAGCAGGAGTCGGAACCAGATGGGGGTGACGATGACTGCAGCAGCGCGTGCCCTAGCGATGTGTTGGATGGCGACGTTGATGATGTTGAACCCTTCGACGCTGACAACGGAAGTGGTCCTTGGATTATAAATGGACGTACAGGGTGGTTTCACTTTGCAGTTCGAACAGACGCCGGAGGTTTGGTGGTCAATGGAGTGCGGTGGGGTCTGGCGCGCAGGCCGAAAGTGCAACTTCAGCCACCCTGTTTCTTGGTGAGTGAGAATCCAGTTGTGCTGACGCAGTGTACGTTTACACTTGCGTTGGCCAGCTGGTGTGTTAGTGCTACAGGGTGATTGTCTCACCGGCACTTGGTGTACGTTTGCACCAGTTGACATTTGTGGTTACTGCTGCGTGGGGAGCAGAAGGAACCTAGTGTGATCTTGTCGGGTTGTCTGCGTTGCTTGTTGCTCTTATCCTAATGCCTGCAGCTGCAGCGTCACCGTGGGAGCAAAAATTGGCGGCAACTCGCCTTCTAAAAGCAGTCAAGCGGCGCATGTTGGAAACATACGATGAAGAAGACCTGTTGGCGACATGTTTCAGGAAAGAGTGTGACTTGGATGCGTGGATCAAATCTTTGCTGGTGACGGAGTCGAACCCCGTCGCAGCAGAGGACTCCTGGAATGTGCGCCCTGTTGCGGGCATGATTCGTCGCCTTTGGTTGGATGCTTGCGGACAATCTTCTAGTGGGGTGGGGGTGGAAGCCAAGCAGCAATCGACTCCCGCAAGCCTGTCCTTGCTTCCTTTATCCGGGTCCGGGCAGCGCCTTGACGCTGCCGAGCGGGACAAGTTGAGAAAGATGTTTGAGGGCAACTACCCGAGAACAGTCATTAACGGAGCGACACTTCCTTGCCTTGGCTTTCTTTCTTGTGTGAAAGCCCAATGCTCCGCTCGCGCCTGGGAGTGGATTCCTTGGAAGAAGGGGTTGAGTGAGGGCGATTCCCTGGCGGTCAAAAGCAGAAAAGGCAAGTCCGGTGACTTGCTGGAAATTATGTCTCAGGCTGCTGGCTTGGGCCAAGACGAATGGGACTTGGATTTGTCAAATGCCCCGTTGAGGGTGACTTCAATTCTGACAGTGCGCGCGCACGCGTACTGCATGTGTGGTGTGGGACATTTGTCCTCGTGGATGCAATACGTGCAAAAATTCGTCAGTCACTACACAAAACCTGCTGGTGACGGTTTTCGCATGCCGACTGCGATTGAGGCTGAAATGGCAGATCGCGAAGTTGTGGGAGAAGTGTTCAGGATGGTCTATGATGGTGTCTCCATGGATCGGGCACTCTTGTCTGTAGTGAAGGATGATTTGCTGCGCATCCACTTGTTCTGCAAGCCCAAGCCGTTCAAGCAAAGAAAGGGAAATCAGGGAGCAGGTGGCGCGGTCGCTGGCAGGCCGCCTGCGGGTGATTCAATCCTGAACCGCAAACGCCCATTGCCGCGTAATCCGGGGGGGAGAAGAAATACAAGATGCGCTACTGCTCGCTTTTCAAGAGGGCAAGTGCCGCCGGGGTGATGATTGCCGGTTCAAGCATGAGTGTGAAAAGTGTGGGGCGTCAGACCATGGTGCTGCTGCGTGCAAGAAATGACCAGGCCGCAGCAATCTGGCAGTCGGTGGGGTTGCCAGCGCTGCTTTCTCTTGTGTGCCGCCTGTGAGCTTGCGTGATGCGGATGCGGCCGGCGTAGATGATTGCTGCTGCTTGGATGAGAGCGTGGTGGATGAAGTAGCCCAGAGTAACGCCTCTTGTCTGTGCCGTGTCTTGATGGTTGCAATGTGGTGTCCGAGTTCACTGACAATCAGTGCTGCTATTTCAGCGACAGAGTGATGGCGGAGATGAGATGTGACAACTCTCAAACTTCGCTGGATATGGTCGCCAGGACAGCAGCAGGATCTTCAGTGCATGCGGTCAAGCGCGACACTACGGCTCGGAGAAGAGGCTTCGTGGAGCGTGCGTTCCCTATTACAGATCGAGGTGGAACGCAGTCTACAGCAGATTGGTCAGTGCCACGCGAGCAAAGGGATTTCTTTGCGCCGCTTCGGAAGTCATTTTTTGGTTCGGCGGCAAAATGGCAGTTGGTGGCTCGCCTTCGCGCCCATGTGGAGAGTGCTTCAGATGTGTGTTTGTTTCGTGAGGCAGAACTGGCAGAGATGCGGGAATGTGTGAGAACTTTCCTTCGGAAAGAAGGGTTGGATTGCAGCTTGGAGATCCCCGAGTATCAGCCCTTCCTGTTATGTTTGACATGTGGCGCGCGTTGGGGTGTCTTACAGGGGATGTTGATTATGTTTTGCCTAAAGTGCTTGCTGAAGAGGTGGAAACTGGTATTGTCAAACCGATTGTACCGTCCGGGGTCTGGGATGAGCGTGCAGTTGACGCTGCGGGTGACGACTGCGAGCTGCGCGTCTTTGACGCTCCTTGGAGGAGTGCAAGTGAGGATGTGGAGTTCACGAAATCCTTGATCATGAAAGATGTGGAAGCTGGTTTTGCTTTCATTCTTCCTGGAGGAGAGGATGAGGCCCGTGCCAGGTGGGGCGACCATGTAGCTGCTGGCAAGCTGAGGGTGGTGCGCGCCCCGGGCCGTAAGCCGCGGCTGATCGGGGATGGCAGCGTGAGTGGGGCAAATGGTGCCTCATGCATCCCTGAGAAGATGAGGCTGCCCGACCTGGAGGGTGTTCAGCGTTTCCTGTCTGAGGCAGATTGCGCGGAGGCCTGGTGGTTGTTCTCTTTCGATGTTCAGGGAGCGCATAAGCTCGTGCGAGTCCGTGAAGATGAGCAAGGATTTAGCATTTTCGTCCTGGACGGTGTGTGGTACGTTTATAGATCTTGCTATTTTGGTTGTCGTTGGGCTGCTTATTGGTTCAGTCGGGTTGGTAGTTGGCTGGTGCGCTTGCTTCACAGGTTTATCTGGATTACGCATGGACTTTCCTGTATTCAGATGACGGGCTTGAGTTTTGCCAACCAGTGTGGGACCGCTGTTGGCCGTGGCTAACTTGATGCTTCTGGGCGCAGTTGGAGTGCCCATTAGTTGGAAGAAAGTGTGCATGGGCACGAGCTGGTGTGGATTGGCTGGCGCTTCAATGCGGTTGCTGGTGCCGCTTTCTTGCCATATGAGAAAGCGTCAAAGATTGTGAAGGGTCTCCGGAAACTGTGTGACAAGGGTGTGGAGATTGATCGTCAAGAACTTGAGAAAGTGATAGGCTTGCTGGTCTGGTTCTGTGATGGTGCATTCTGGCTGAGTCCTTGGCTCTCCTGCTTCTACAGAATCCTGTGCAAGCCAAGGGTGGTCACTAGAAGGATTCTTGCGTGTCAGTTTCTTGACGTGATCTCATCTTTGACGGATGAAGTGAGAACAAGTTGCAAATTCAGTGATTGCGATGTAGGCAAGGGATGGAAGCTGCATTCTGTCAACAACGTGGAGATTAAAGGGTTGTCTTGCAGAGCTTTGCAGATGCCAAGAGTGAAGCGTGGTTGTGTGAGCGCAGTGTTTTTCGATTACAATGCGCAGAAGACCAAGACTTCTTCTGATTCCGCGCACGCGGCGCGACTATTTTGCAATGCAGTGGAGAGCTCGGTGTCCATTCCGCTTTGTATTCGTTATGCAAACGATGGTGTGGCTGCTGCTGATGCGTTTGCTGACAGTGACGTGGCAAGAATTGGAGGATGGTGGTTACCACAAACTGGTGGCAGCATTGCCGCAGGTGATGCCTTTTGGTTCTCCGTGGTGTTGCCAAGAAGTTCGTGGCCGCGGTGTTTGCGAGTAGCTGGATCCGAGTCCTTGCAGCGTTGCATTGCAGCCTTCGAAGCAATAGCGCAGCCATGTTTGCTGCTGCTGCGTCACGATCGTGGACATAGCGAGTCAGGTGGGTTCATGCTTCGATTCTCGCAGTTGTGTGACAATGCAGGACTGAGTGCGCTGTCCGGCAAGATGCT